GTTTGCAGCAAAACACTCAATTGATGAGCTTTTCAATATAAAAGAAAATCCTCAGGAGACTTCATACATCTAACTTATGAGAAGCAAAAAAAATTCTTTAAAATATATCAGCTTTCCCCACTAACTTAATTGTTCAACTAAACTTCCCTTTCCAAATGGAAGGTTGGTGAATCTCCTTACCAACTTTCAAAACCAAGATATATAAATTCCTCCAGATAGAAATAACACTCACCAAACTGTAAGCAATAGAAAAGAAATGCAATGCATGATACACACTTAGAATAGGACACAGTCTCCTGTGGGAAGAAGAGACAGATTTATACCTGCCCTAAGGATCGAACTTGACTCTCCAATTTCTCATTCAGAGCCATTATCCATTACACCTATAACACATCTAAGCTTACAGTACCTGGTATTCCCCAGCAGTTATACATCTAGACCTGGCTCGACAGTGGTGATCAGATGAGAACTGATGCTTCAGCGTGATGTGGCCATAATCATTTTATATGACTAAGAACTGTTAAATTCTGAAACTTGAGTTTATGGCTCTCTACAATCTCTTAAGGATCAGCAACAGGCAACTTTCAGAAGCGTTTTCAATGACAGTCATAATATTGTAAGATAAAAATTGTTGGCCTGTGAAGCAGATAGAGAAGAGAGAAATACCAGAATAGGTTGGGGGAATATAAAGATTTTCCCTGTTAAAAGAATGTGAGGAGTCAGACATTTTTTGTTTTTTGCTTTGTTTGACATTTTTCTTGTTTTATTTATACAATATAGTTACAGCTCAATAAAAAATATTAAAAAAAAAAAAAAAAATCAATCTTTAATGGAAAGTTGGTGAGTCTCCTTACCAACTTTCAAAACCAAGATATATAAATTCCTCCAGATAGAAATAACACTCACCAAACTGTAAGCAATAGAAAAGCTATTATAAAATGTTTCCAAGTATATATATATATATATATATATATATATATATATATATATATATATATATATATATAGGAAAACATCTGAGAGGATTAAAAAACATCATCAGATAGTAAAAAAAAAAAAAAAAAAATCAAACAGCCCACTATTTGAACAGCCAATGAAAATGTCTGTAATAAAACAGAAAAAGGGCCAATGAAAAGATTTAAAACAACTTTTGTTTTTATGTGCAGTTGGGGAAAAAAATGGTAGTAATGACAATCAAGAGAGTGAACGCCCATAAATGATATTGGTCATCAAATGTCAGTTATTGTATCCGTAGATAATACTTTCTCAGTTTATCTTTACCTTATTCTTGTCAGTCATGCTGTAAAGAAAACCAAATTGGTTAGATGCATATTTTAAAAAGTCTCCAGTAAACAAAAAGAAAATTGAAAATTATGTTGAATGTATTACACAGGAAATATTCAAGTTCACTAAACTTAGCATCAATCACGTGAGTAACAGAGAATGCATTGAAGAAAAAAAAAAAAAAAATTAAGTAATTATTTATACAAGAAATCTGTATTGACCATTTAGGAAATATCAAGAGATCCACCAGAGGAGAACGTGACAAAGGCATTGTGAGCCAGATCACAGATCTGTGGGGGTGGGGTGATTTCAGGAATGATAACTAAATTTGTAAAAAAAAAATGTTCAAGTTAGAAATACACTTTATTTGTAATTGAATTTCTTTTATTAGATGAAGCATTGTTCATTTTTGACAATTATCTTTTTCTTTATTTCATTTTTATCATGACTGTCTATGGCAGTAAACAGTGCAGATCAGAAAGAAAAGAATAAAGCTTAAAGATAGACTTGAAAAAAAAGACTCACTCTTTAGGAAAACTATTTTAGCATGACAATGATAACTTTCCTACCACCTGAGCTACAAAAACAGGCTAAAGTGTAACCATAACACCTTATTCTTCATTTTCTTTGCATATCTTTGTTTTGTTTATCTACACTAGCCACCATCTTTATTTTTGACCACACTGTTTACTAAGAGCAGATCATATGATGGCAATTATAATAAAAAGAACTGATATTAAGTTGGAAGAAATTCTAGCCAAAAATGACAATAATTATTCCAATTATTCTTTTAGACAGCATTTAATAATCATATCTAAATATTAAATGCAATAAAATCACAGATAAATTTTTTTTCTTCTCAAGAGCAGTAAAAATGAACATTTGCAATGAAGATCATTATTAAAATTTAAAAAAATAAATCTCATCAAATTGAGAAGATAATGTTATATGACCACCTTATAAGCTGTACTAAAAACTAACAACCTTCCCTTGGTTATTTTTTAAATTATTCTCTGCTCATATTTTTTTTTAATTAATCTGTGTGGATTTGTTTTGTAAGATCTCATAAAAAGATTATTAACATCATAAAAGTTTTAAATAAATTATTTGTAATGTGAAACAATGTAAAAAAAAACAATAAATGGTATAAGAATGTATATACATATAGGAAAGAAAAGATCTGATGTAAAAGTTGCTGCCACTGTATCTCAAGCCACAAGAAAGAAATCTCAACACAGCACTGGACTTAGATGCACTGCTAGCGTTTACAGTAGTTGCTGCTTTTATAACATTTTCAGAATTGAACAAAATTGATAGCCTGGAAAGAGAGGGCAATCAAATATTATCATTAAAAAATATAACAATTATTACATTTTGGCTTGTCTTTTCTTCATCTTATTGTTGCTTTTTATCACAATATTCTAAGCTCTCTGACCATTAATGTGAAAAATAGAATACCTTCCTCAACTTGTATCCCATCTTCCAGCAGCTCACCTTCAAACATGGAGGCTTATATCTGGACAGGGCACAAATTTACAATAACGCATGCCATAATCAAATTATTATTTGAGATTATAAATTATGTATTTTCATTAATCTTATAATTCTATTTGTTCTGTTGTTAGTAAGTTAGCACAAACATTACACCTTGCCATTACTTCAGATAAATAATAATAATCTGATTTTTAATGCAAGGAAAGACTAAAGAAAACGATATAGAGATGCTGTTTGGTCTTAGTGAGCAAAAGAAAGTATACATAATTATAAAGAAGACAGATAATGCTTTCCTGCATTTATTGTCTGCTTCAGTGAAATTTGTCAAATTTTCAATCTTTTCATTTGTACCCTCTTACTTCTTTTTTTTCTTTTTAAATAATGACTTACATTCATACTTATAATTGTTATTGCAATATTTTGTTAAAAAAGGTTAAGACAAAATATTTAACAATGTAGTAGACTAATTTCTGTCAGTATTTTATAGTTGTAGAACTCAGACCTAGAATCATAATTCCTGAATTCTGAACCTAAAATTTTGATTAATTAGAAAATACAGATAGAAAAATCATGAAATTTTCATGGTACTGCTAGTTTTCATTAGTTTTGGACTGATTTTATTTAACTTATTTTTACCTTTTAGGGTGAATCAAAGACAAGCCAAAAAGGAATAATGCAAGTATTTAATCTCTGGTGACAAATAAAACACTTAATTCTTTTAACATCAAAGAAAGAGATAAAATTGGCTCCCAAAACAAACCTTCAATATTTAGCTTCAGTCTTCCTGTTTAATTGTATCGACAATATCAACAGGAAACATTTACATATAGCTCTTGTCATTTTGAGTCTAATTGATTAACTTCCTTATGTTATAATAGATTTGTGTTGCCTGAATTGAAATGACATGCGATCACTGATACGTGATAATATTTGGAAGTTATTTCAAGCATTTTATGCTTCAAGTATTTCATTTAACAGATTTTAGTTAAAATCAACAATATTATGTATTTTTTAAATTTTGTTTATTGAGATTATAATGACAAAAATGTGGAATCCAGGTTTTAAAAAAATCCTATGTTTATAATTACTCTTCTTACAGACTTATGAACAGACAAATAAAAAAAGCTGCCTTTATACCATGTATTTGTTTTATCTTTAAAATAGCAACCAACTCCAAATTTCTCTCTCCTAATTGAATTTATACATTGAATTGTCATTTCCATTCAAGACCAGAACAACTTTCGGAGCTGATACTTCTCACATTTATCATTTACTTAACGACTAAAACTGGAGGATATGGAGAACCATTGTCGTAAAACAAGCATTAAATTTCCTGCTTGTCTTTTTCTTTAATCTGCATTTTTGCTGTCATTTGTATTCTGTGATGCAGAAAAGCTGAAGAATATTATTAACATTAAATGAAAGGATTTTTTTTTTCGCAAAATGAGAATATCCAAATATTATTCACCCAAATGGTTTATAAATGGCGAGACAGTGAGGCCACATTTACATATTTTCAGACAAACACAAGAAAGAGGAAAAAAGAGAAATAAAATTATATATTAAGATAGATAAGAAATTATTTACAAGATCCAAGAAACATTGAATTGATAACACTTAAGCTTCCCTTTATATATATATATATATATATATCTATATATATATATATATATATATATATATATATATATATATATATATATGAGAATTTGGACCCATTTGAGGGATTTACCTCTTCCGCCCCTGTCTTTTCAAGTTTAATTATTGTTCTCCATGAGAGTGAGAACCATCAAGAAAAGTTTGTTTTTCTTATTTGACAGGCATATTTCTCATACCCTCTTCACCAACAAAGAACAGTAAACATTGACAAAGGAAACAACTTTGATATCCAAGAGTTTCCTCCCTTGATACACCCTTTGTTTTAGACTGTCTTTTGTTTAAAAAAAAAAAAAATTTTTTTTTTTTTTTTTTTTTTTTTTAGTAATTTAAAATTTTTTATGGCCATGAAAAATGAAATGAACCGGAACAACGTCATTACTGAGTTTTTTTTTTTTTTTTTAAAAACCAAAAAAAAAACAAAAAAAACGTCCATCTTATTTGAAAATAAAACTTGACACATGATCACAGATGGGAAACATACCATGAAATAAGGGGAAAAGAAAGGTGGGGAATGACAACAACACACATACAGAAAAGACAACTAAGTCCAAATTAATAATTTCTCAAGAGATCTTGCTGTTGATGACATGCTGGTGTGTATGGCAACCATATTCTGAATATTTTGTGCTTCTGTATTCACTAGAATTAGCATTATGATAGTTGACTGCTTCAACTGGGTGGGCAGCCCCATACTGATCCTGGGGGCCGTAATCTATGAGCTCTACCACACGACCCTGAATATCACTCATGTGGCAAGGGGAACTCTCCTCACTGCTTGGGTAGAAGCCCTTAGATTTGGACCGCTTCTTGTAGTCATAGAGAGAAGACTTGCCGAAAATTTCACTATCCCTGTGTGTTGCTGCAGCACCAGCAGAATCAGTAGTATCGTAATCTGGAGATGTCAGGCATGGTTCCTCCTTATAGTGATCATCAGTGATCTCAATTTTGTCTTCATCAAGGAGGTTTCGAGAAAATTTCAATGTTCCCTTCAGGATATCTCTGACCTGAAGTGAGAAAAGTAAAACCTTGTTTTAAGAGATATCACATTCAAATGCAGAAATGTTTGAGTAATAATATTATTTAAAAAAAAGACTGTGTAATCAACATCCTAGTTATAACTATTCACACCATATATATATATATATATATATATATATATATATATATATTATGTGCCATATCCATTCAGGACGTAGGTGATCATGGCTCTCCACCTCCCTTTATCCCTTGCAGCTCTCAACAAATTTCCTTCCCTCTGCTACCTCCCCCAGACCACGTTCTGTCATCCACTTGCTTAAGTCCGCCAGGTATGTCACGCATCATTTTCCCTTGTCTCTCTTTCCTTCTATTTGACCCATGAGTATCAGATTCTCCAGACCCTCCTTCCTCAGAAATTTCAGCTGCCTCTTCCTGATATTAAGTATAAGCCTCCTCCTTGTTTGCAACCTCTCTAAGACCTCATCATTGCTCTCATACTTAGTCCATGATATCCTTAGCATCCTTCTGTAGAACCACATCTGTTGCCTTGAGTCTCTTCTTCATCTTTGAGGAAATTGTCCAACATTTGCTGTCATAAAGGACAGATGTCACGTAACAGTTCAGTATTCTTTTATTTGTTATCAAAGATATCCTCCTGTCTCGCAGTATTCTGCCCAACTTTTGGAATGTGTCCAATACGCCTACAGATCTCAGTGTCGCACTTACTGCCCTCTGTCAAGACGCTTCCTAGGTATTTAAACTTCTGCATCTGCTTGATTCTAGTGTTTCCATATTATATATATATATATATATATATATATATATATATATATATATATATATGTGTGTGTGTGTATATATATAATTTTCAGTACAGGAACAAAATGAATAAATAAACGATGGAACCTATTCTTAGCCGATGCATTTTATCCTCTGAAGGAGACAAATGTAGGATTTATTTTGTTGTATGTGTTTATATACAAAAGCAAAGATATCATTGGTTTATCAAGGCTTTTAAATTTGAGAACATTCATGTGGCTGAAAGGTCAGTCAAAACATGGCAGATACAAAGTGACATAATTCAAAGTCTGGTGAAGTAGTAAGTGAGTAGCATTCAAGAAATTTCTTTCTTTAATAAATGAATATTGTTTAAATTGTGATCAGATTGTTATGGCTTGGGATGGACTATGTGCTGTACATCTTCAAAAAAAAAAAAAAAAGAAACTATATATATATATATATATATATATATATATATATATTTTAATTGTTTCACCTTAAGCAAGTCAATACCACCACTAAGAAAAATGTCAGAAAAAGACATTAGAAAAAAAGGACAATAAAAAGTCAGGAATCAAGAAGACAGAAAATGGTGACAGACATTACATTTAAATTTTTGAAGATTGTAGGTAGGAAGAAAACAAAAAACTGGAAGATAGTTCCACAGGTAAGAAATGCAAGAGAAGAATATACTAGAATAGAAATTTTTGATTTCAACCTTGTAAGCTTCCTGGTTTGTTATAGGTGATCTCGAGTTAAAATGTATCTTCATGCCTATGTTCAATTGCAATCAACATCCAAGTATGTACTTACCTGTTTTACTCCAGCAATTGATAACAAAATTTCATCTTCTCCTCCTGTTAACTTTTGGGCATGCAATTCATCTTGTAAGCGTTCTAAACAAGTAAGAGAAAAACAACTGAATTAGTATTTCCATTTTGTTCATGATCATTTTAAAGGATAACTAGCCTTGTTGGTTATAAAAAAAATAATTTTATAATTTACTTTCCAATGATAACAAAAATAAATAGATTGATGTTTTAACAAATTAAAAAAGCAATCATGGAGTTTCTTTATCAATATAAGAGAATCTTCATATAAAACTATCAACCCTGACCAACAAGAACATGTCTCCAAATCTCACTGTATAAAACAAGTTTTCCCACTCCTGCTATGCTATGAATTTGATATGTATTTAACTCTTGACTTCCTGAAACCTAGAAATCAACATGAAGCAGTTAAATTAAAATTATATATATATATATATATATATATATTTTGGCCATGTGCTGATAGTGACAGTTAAATTTCAAGATGAAATTATTAACTTAGCATCCTCATGTATTTATAAAACAAATCAAAAGTTAGTAAATATTTCATTCATAAAAGAAATATAAAAAATTTTCTTGTGTCCCAAAAATGTAAAATGAGACAATTTTAAAAATCATTTCAGGCTTATGGTTTTTCAATTTTAAATTGGAAGGGTTCAGACAAAATGGCAGTTTCAGACCAGACTTTATTCTGTATGATGTGTGCTTGATATGTCATGTAGCAATACATATACCATATTGACTATAGAAGTTGCTGATAGTCCTTATCTCAGATTTTTCTGTCTTCATTGGTATTTTATATCACTTTTTCTAACTACTTAACAGTATAAGTAGCACTTCAAGTATGTAAATGGTTGAAGGGCAAGATACAAGTTGAAGTTTTGACTTCTTTCTTCAAAGTTTCTACAATTTGAAGGCCAAAGAATATATTGACTAAAAATCAATTATTTTTCAGTTCTGATTGGTATTTTTGAATTACATTTTATTGCAGTTATTCAGACTATCAAAGCATATATAAGCATAAAATCTAAATAAATAGGTTTAATTTTTATTTCACATAAATATTTCCTCTTTCATTCCAAATGTATTTCTGTTTTCATAGCATAACTTTTTCTAGCAAGTTCATTCTGTGGTCTTTAGAAGTTTCTAAATATCCTGCAGATCTTAAAGATCATCTTTCTTTGAACTTCATGGACTGGAATCAATGAATGCCAGATGTTTCCTTATAAGGAAATGGCTAATCTTACCCTTACAATCACCAGTCCTTTTTTTTCATCTCAAGTACAATAACAAAATCACAGAACATGTAAAAATCAAACTTTACCAAATAACAAAAACTACAATGCTTGAAGACTTCTAACAGCAGTAAGAACTAAAATAGATTTTTCAAAGAGAAAATAATAGCATAAAATATATTTTCACACTAGCCTAAACAAAAGGTGAGAAAGGAAATGCCCATCAATATTGGAAAGAGTAATAACAGTGAACTTGAGAAACTTATTTTCTTGATTTGCTCTTTTAAGAGAAAGATAAATTTCAACAAACAGTAACACTAATTGTTCAATCAATTAATACCAGATGTTTCCTTATAAGGAAATGGCTAATCTTGCGCTTACAATCACCAGTCCTTTTTTCATCTCACGTACAAAATCACAGGACATGTATAAATAAGGTAACAATTAATTGTAAAATTTCTGAATCTTTGAATGGCTTGTCTAAGTAAAAGAAAAAAAAAAAAAAGCAAAGATTAGCAGACTTACCAATATGAATATCAAGTTTGCTGGCACAATATTTACACATAGCTTCAAAGTCATTCAATTTGCCTTGTATATAAGCCATCTTTGTGGTTATGTCTTGCTCCTGAAAAGTACAAAAGATTCTGATTGATGAGGGTCATTGGTTCATCTGGGCATTTGTTTATTTGAACAAATTATTACAAATTATATATGAGGAGGGGGGAGGAGTAAAAAATTAGCACCACTTTTGCCATAACATATCTTTAGGTTTATCTCACTGCCTTCTACTCATGCATGCTTATAGCTGGTACTATTGTGGTTAAGTGATCGAAGCTTGAACTTGACTCTGCCAGTTCTCTTGCAGCTGTTACAGTGTAAACATGTCTGCTCCACTAGCAGTATACACTAAGATGGAACAAAAATCAGTGATCAGATTTCTCTGGTCGGAAGTGGTGTCAGGGGCTGAAATTAATTGGAGGCTTTTAATACAATATGGCGACAATACATTATCGCGTAGAAGTGTGTATGAGCGGAATGAGAAGTTTAAGAGTTGCTGGACAAGCATGATGCATGAAGAAGCAGGATGCCTGTCAACCTCCACCACTGATAAGTAGATTCAGCAAGCTCAAGAAATGGTAATGGCGAATGAGCAGGTTATCATCGATAAGGTAGGATGCTCTCTGGAGATTCGGATCACTGCTCTTTAGAAAGAGAACACAGGCTTTTCTCTGGCAAAATGCCCCTTTGATTAAAAATTTTCCACTTTCCGTCATACCATATATATATATATATATATATATATATATATATATGTGTGTGTATATATATATATATATATATATATATATATATATATATATATATATATATACACACACAAAATTTTGATTTTTTTTTTTTTTTATATGTAATGTCTTTTGATGTATTAGAATTATCTCCCTTCTCCTATTAATTCCAGGAAGTAGTGTATTTATTATAACAATGACAAAATGTTACAATCCATTTATGAAGCCAGGAGGTGAAAAGACTGACCATGTGAACAAGCATTACAGAAAGAATAATAATATTAAGGAAAAAAATATTTGCAAACTAACACATGAAAACCTAATAATAGTAATAATATTAAGGACTTAAATATTTCATTTTTTTATGGCGTGGATGAATTAGCAAACTGTTAAACTAGACCAATGTAAACAAACCAAAAATTACTCTTTTGGTACTCATTGCTAACAGACCCTCCCACTGCCTCCACATAATAGATTCAGCCTCAATCAGATAAATAAAATTATGTCTTCATTTAATATCTGCAAAATTCTAAACCCCTAAAATACAATTTAAACTGTACTGAATTTTTTCACATTTAGTTTCTTAGCCAGGTACATTAGATAAATTTTTCAAACATTAATAAGCATTAAATATGACGGTGGTTCAGAATGTTAAGAAATCTGTATTGAATTTAAATGTTAATATATTTTTATTTCAAAATTTATTGTATTTGTTTTGTTTAATACTAACAGTTGTATAACCGTATAAATGGCAATCATTGTTCATGTTCCATATTATAGATACTTTAGACAAGATGTCTAAAAAAGACAAACCACATTGTTTCTTCCTAATTGTCACATATCTCTAATTCTGAAGCATGTCATGTGGATTACAAAATAAAAGATCCATATAAAACGTATTCATTTATAGTAATCTTTTTCTTTGACCTATGAAAATGTATAAAATGTGATCCTCATATTGAAAAGCTTTACATAAACAAGGCAGCTGTCTGATTGAAATCAATTTTCTTTATTCTTGTGCTTCACTTAACTAAAATATGTTTTGATAATATCTGGTTTTTATAAAGAATGCAGTCAATCAATGCAGAATCTAAAAAAACAAGAGACTTTCACATCTGGACTTCAGTTTATTTTCTCCCTGCTTGTTTACTATTAAGTTTGAATATTGGACAGAATTCAAAGACCCTTAATTTGTGATATGATGATGAGACCTGCCAATTATTTGTATTACAAATCCAACTATTAACTTGATTTGGTGTATATTAAATGAAAGAACAGTTAATTATTATCAATAATATCTTTTTTCTTTTATATCACTAATTATTTTTCATAATAGTAAAATAAAGAAATGAATGAGATGCAATTGATACTAAATAAATTTATAACAGTAAAGAAATAAAAAAAAAATCTTATCTTTTGAACTTTATCAAGTGAAATATTTCAGATAATACCCAAAATATTTGAGAACTTTCTATTGTGAAAATTTTGAAATATAAGTTAACCTTTAAAATTAAAGTATTAAAAAATAATTGAATAATACATTGAATGGATTCTGTGTTTTTTTAATAAGTGATTAAGAACATAGGAAATAGTACTTTTGTTTTTTCTCTAACAGAATTCTTCCTTCAGAAGAGATAATCAGACAAAGCCAAAAGAATAAAATCCTTTTATATTAATCTGACCAAAATAAATATTGGTAAATATGGACCTTTGTACCTACAAAAAAAAAATAAAATAAAATAAAAGAAGAAAATGGAGTGTCAAAAGTATGTTTTTTTTTTTATGTGACAGTTTTTATTTTAACTACCTTCACTCTTTGAGAACGTTTTAAAAAGCAATGATTAGAATTGTAAAACCTAAACACATGAAAGTGAATTTATACATTTATTTTGTTCTTGAGAATTGACAACAATAAACATTATTTATTAGATTTAAACTATTTATTATATTGTTTATTAAAACGATTAGCAAAACATTAGCTAATTGCCAATTGATTTGAAATTTATAAAATGGCAAATAAGGATTTACTTAGTTCACATATTTTAATAATTTAGTAAATGTTTATAAATTTATGAATAGAAAATTGTTTTCATATTTATTTCTTTATAAATTGCTAAATCTTACTTATTATGAAACGCAGATTGTGTGTGTGTGTCTGTAACGTTTATATATTGGATCGGATTTCCTACATTTTTCAACAGATTTCAACAAAACTTCACAGGACTACATAAAATTACCTTGTGGTGGTTATAACAGCGCCAAAAATGGGAAAAATATAATTGTTTTTGCACAAAATCAATTTGAAAGCACAATTAAGAGACATCGTGAAAATGGAAGGGGGACAACTCACATCGGGTTGTTTGTGTGTGTGGGTTCCTTTAAATATGGGGCGGATTTCCTATATTTTTCAGCCGATAAAACAAAACTTTTTTTTTTTTTTTTTTTTGGCAGGTAGTGTTTCTTATTCTCTTGCACACTTTTTTCTTTATTTTTAACATTCAGAATGCTTTAAAACTTCCATTTACAAGACAATTATTTATAATAAAATTTTATTCAATCGGTAGAGACTCATAACGATTGAAAACAATATTTTTGTTTGAGTTTGGGTTCGACCAATTCGTAAAAAATAAAAAAAAATAAAAACTCATTAAGACATGCGTGTCCATCAACCTTAAACAATAATCTAACGATCTCTACTGATTGTACGAATACAAACATCGGAATAAATTCTTTAGGGAAAGATAATGAAATCTAAACATACACAAGTCCTAACTAAAAATAATGACCGAACGGAAACTACTTTAAATACACATGGTGTCCAATTTTTTACTGTATTCAATAAGTAAAAATCATAAATTGTAAAAGATTATTATTACAGAAAGGCTACTAAATGAATAAGATTTGTTAAATCATAATTAATAAACCCAAATAAAGTTAATATTTTTTGTATTAGAAACAACGAGTGGAAAATATATTCAAATCAAATTCTAATTATGAATCACCACAAGCAAAATATGCAATTTTTTTACTGTATTCAATAAGTAAAAATCATAAATTGTAAAACTAAAAAATTACAGAAAGGCTACCTACATTTTTCAACCGATTTCAACAAAACTTCACTTTTTTTTTTTGGCATGTAGTGTTTCTTATTGTCTTGCACACTTTCTTTATTTTTACATTCAGAATGCTATGTTTTTGTTTGAGTTTGACCAATTTGTATAAAAAAAAAAAAAAACTAATTAAGACATGCGTGTCCGTCAGCCTTAAACAATAATCTTTGTCAATTTTATTTTTCAGTCTTTATGATGGTGGATACTTGATCTATCTCTTACTGTTCTACTGGTAGTAATTAATATTGTATTAGTTTTTAGAATGTTGTAAATATAAAATTATTCTTGCAAATAAACAATCAAATAAATAAGAGTGATTAATATCTTTGTTGTAAATTCTCAAGAACAAAAATGTATAACTTCACTTTCATCTTACGTTTAGGTTTTATTAAAATTCTAATCATCACTTTTTAAAACTATAAAGATTGCTGAGGATTGAAGGTAGTTAAAATAAAAATGGTATCATAGGAAAAATATACTTTTGATACTTTTTTTTTTTCAGGCACAAAAGTCCATGTTTGCCAAAATATTTTTCATCTGAACATAGACTCACATATTTTGTAATCTTCTTAGATTTCATCCTTCCCTTGCTGGGTAACGTAGAATAGCGAGTTGGACTGCTGGTGTGACCATCATCAGGACTATAACCGGCAGGAGTGGAGGCCACAGAACGAGGTATGAAGCTAGAATTTGAAGTTGTTGAGCGTAACATAGTGTCTTCTAGTTTAGATAGACTTGCTGTGGACCCTCTTTTCTCTTGACAAGGAGGAGTAACTGAAGCAGAAAAATCAAACAGGTTAAACAGGTGCAGAAAAGAATTTACAAATTCTAACCCACCACCAATGATAAAAATAGTTTCCAAGTAAAAATGTTTTGCTAATTATCAGGGTATATATTTAAGGTATTTTAAAACCTAGTAATATTTATTTCTAACACATCATAACAGCTAATATTTTGAAGAAAATTATTTCCTCTAAGTAAGAGAAACTTCAAAATGCACTAATTTATAACTAGAAAAAAAATCACAGTCCCAAATTAAATAAATTAAAATATTTAACTAAGGTGAAAATAGCCTAATGGCTGGTTGTACATACAGAATTAGTGAACAGATTTCAAGCTCTAGTTGAGATAGTTTACATTCACTTCACACTAATGCCCTTGGGAAAGGCATGAATCCACTTTCCTCTGCAATTACAGGTAAAGTGCAAGACAATCAGAGCCCTTTACCCTGTAAGGCAGACTACCTTGGATATCAATACGACAGCTCTGTAAAATTTCACTTGCTACTGAAGCCACAGCAGTATCACTTGGGGTTGGAGCTATTTACTTCACAAGCTAATCTTGTGGAATAAACAATTTCTAAGAAGCCAAAACAGTACAATTTTTTCTGCAGAACAATTGCCTAACAAAATTGGCTTAAAAATAACCAGTGAGAATGAGAACTGATTTCAAATGTATAACAATAGCATTTAATGTCTTCTAGGCAAAAATAGACAATTTAAGTAAGAAAACAAAATGTATAGGAACATATTTGTTCACTATTTCAATATGATATTTACTAAGCTTAACTTAGTCAAACACATGAAAATAGGGAATAAGAAAATTGTATTGCACCAGTTTTCCAAGTGAAGAGGAAAATATATAAATTAGTTTTTATGATTTTGGCTTTTATTGGACTATAGTAGGAAATGAAACAAGTTTTGAATAGCTAAAAAAAAATCCAAGAGAGCATGTTTTTCTTAAAAGAGCTTCTAAAATTGGATTGAGCATTCCATTGACAATCAAGGAAAGATTAATTTCAAAAAGGTAGTTAATATTTTGTAATTAAACTTTTCAGTTGATTAGCAACAAATGTAAAATGTTATTAGAGGAAAATATTAATTAGTTGTAAATGAACTGAGAGACAAATATGACTGAATATAAAGAGATTAGAACAATTTTAAGAATATTTTTAGGAAAAAAGCACAAAATGTGAAGTCGAGGAAATAGAACCACAGTGAACTGGTTAATTGGCAGATAAAAAGTAAACAAGAAAAAATTGAAGAAATAAAAACACCAGGTGTTCAGGAAAAAAAAAATGTATACACATTTGATTTGTTAATAACAATTCTGTTACCTGGAAGTTAAATATTTTCCTACAAAATGTTATAAAATTTACAATGTAAAAACATTCATAAACTCTCAAAATAATCAGGAAATAATGTTAAAGATACATAAAAAATTTGTTTAAAGCAAAAAAGTATCATTTTTCATTAAATTGAAGGGAATTATCAATGTTAAAAGAGATATATTGATTTTTATTATAACATTTATTCTTCATAATGAAAATATTTAACATTTATGTAAAGAACCAAAGCTTGTGTATACATTTGTTTTTTTGTTTTTTTGTTTAAAGACAATTATACAATGACAAAAGATATATTGTTTGAGGTGCTTCTTTTACATTTTTCATTATGACATAGTACACAAATGATATTTTATTAAATATAAAAAGAAAAGATAATCTAAAACAAATGTACATAGTTTTAAAAAATTGGATTTCATTTGGCACCCCCTTTTTTAGAACAGATAGTCACATTTGTTAAATTTCTTGTAATACTTAAACTGAAAATAGAAAAAGATTGGAATTTGATAATATAATCAGAGAAAATTTGTAATATAAACACTGGAATTATATAACTTATAGAATTAATATAAACAAAAGATCTAAAATATCTCTGTATAACTATTGACAAAAAAATGACTATTTTCCAGTGTTAAAGGTACTACTTTTTTTCTAAAATAAATCTTTAAAATTATTCCAAAACACTAAAGTTAAATATTATATTGCCTATAGTTTTTAAAAACTAATGCAATTACTTATTCTTTTATCCTATTAAGACATAGCTGAGAATAACATGACCTTTGACCAACAATAGACTCAAAATGGCTGATGAGATATATCAAGGATTCTGATTAAGCAAAGCATATTGGGATCACAATTTTTTATAAGCAATAGTTCTTTTTTTAATAAATTTGCATAAAAAGACATATTACATATATTTGATTTTTTTTCTTTCATAACTGGTTTTACTAAGTGATGTTTCTTTTATATAGATGTATACATCTGTGTATATACAATTATTAACAGAACAAAATAATTTACTTAAATTATGAATGAATCTTCAGAGTTTCACCAATGGGTTTATTTATTTAGAGATTGTATTTTTCTTTTTAGAAAAAAGAAAATTTTTATCATGATATAAGACATTTTGAAAATTCTACAAATGAAGTAAGATAAAGTTTTGAATTTGTTCAGTTACACTTAAATCATGTATAATATAGAGGTTAAAGGTTAATGGAATAGCAATTTTTATCTGATTTTGATTGATTAAATTTTAATATTCACAATAACTGGTCCAATTGTTTACACAATCTCTGGTGTGATTCATTTGTATCAAAACACTACTTTTGAAAAAAGTAGAGGTTTACCAAATGCTGCTGTTTTATAGATGGAGGAGTTAAGAAGTGCAAATTATGAACATATCTAGGATAGATAACAGTTGACCCTAGACTTGAAGTTAAGATTGTAGTGGACCCTCTCCAGAGTCTGTTCCACAAAACAGAAGTTCTTGGGAAGAAGCTGTCCAAATGGAACTTTCTTCTTACCAAAGGAATACAAAGGAATGAAAACTATCCAACCCTCTGTATGTATCATGATGAGTCTTGGCTGTAAAGGTCTGAACTTGTGGAGTTAATGAATGTAGCTCATCAGATCATTTTTCCATGGAAACAGAATAATACATAGTAAATATTTTCAATGTCTTGCTAAGTTTAGTTTTAACATTGGGACATTTAATAAGGATTGAACTTGCTATTTAGACTCAGTTTGTGAGACAATTGTATGCTGTCATTTCATGGGAGGCATCATTCTCATATTAATCCGATAAAGTTAAATATAAGATTAAAAGATTTAAAATGTCCTTTTCTGGAAGTAAAAATGAGGCCTGAAAATAGACTTTTCTTGTATCTGTTTTTTTTTTTTTTTTTCATCAGAAAGACAAGAAATTACCTGGAGAAATGTCAGTTTGAAGGTTCATAGGTTCACTGGAAGACTTGGTCATTTTCTTGGGACTACTCTTTACGGATAATGTGCGTGGTCTGTTATTTATTCGGCGGGTCAAGGAGGAGAAGCCGGTCATCACAGAGCTGCGGGTTCTGCTAGCAGAAGCGTTGTTGTTGGTGGCTGCAGCTGCTGGCCACACAAAACAAGTTAGTATTGCCAGGTGAGAGCATAAAGAAGGTTGACATCACATGCAGGATGGAGGGACAGGTATACATACACGCACACATTAAAACATAAAAAATACACACACACTGAAGTACATTAAACTTCTTAAAGACATGCACAAACACAAATATATATACACACACTAAAATTATGGCTTTAAAAACAGACATTTTAAAAACATTTAAAAACGGAAATGTCTGTTTTTAAAGCTACAAAATTTTGTATCCCCACCCAACTACAATTACACATTAAAATACTTAAAAAAAAACAAAAAAACATTAACACTATAGTCTATTGGAATAGTTCTTTACTAAGATTACTTTTGCAGCCTTGTGCCAGACAAAAGTAGAGCACCCTTTGACGAGTGATGAAACTAAACTTGTCACTGATTAAGCAAGATTAATTACTAACCATCACTCCAGCAGAGACACAATCTATTTTATGGTATGCCATTATTTAAAGCTTTAGGAGAGATACAGACAGTTTGTTCTCATTCAATTGACAAATGAATTTTAACATTTTAATATGACCTTCAGAATTCTAACAACAAATTGTCATTTGAATCAATTTTACTAGGATAATTAAATGCATTAACTTTAAACTTTGATGCATATAAAATAGTCACAAAGGAGATTTTAGAAAATGCATTTTATAAATTTGCATTGCTAATATATTAGTAGACATAACTTGGAGCAAAGGAATTGATTGATGGCCTTCAACTTGGCCTTTTCTGCATTTGTTTTTGGGTTTTTATTGGAGAATTTATGTACACCTGGAAGCATTTAGAAAAATATTCTTTCTAAAAGCATTTACAGTAAAACCATTTTGCTGTTGGAGTAATAAACATTTGTTCATTTGAACAGAATACTTTATTGATGATACTAATGAGAATCATTCCCAAATCTGAAAAATATTCCTACTATAGTTTTTCAATTCATTATTTTATGATTAATAGACACATGGCCAAGTGGTTAAAATGTTCACTTTGTAAGCATGAGATGCAGGTTTGAACTTTACCATGGTTAATTTGTCTGGGAAGTGATTTCTTGATATTATCAGCCTGGGGAGGAAATTCCAGTGCCTGAAAAGCAAGCTATGAGTTGATCCAAATCTTCTGAGTAAAATTGAGTAGATGAAACTGTTTAGAAGCCATTGATGGTTGTGCTAGCACAAAGTCACAAGTCATTGTGACCGAGGGTTTGAGCATGTTAGTCTTGATCATACTAGATTTTGCACTCTCTCCCAGAAACTGTAAAGTCTGGTCAGTATAGTTGCAGTATAAGCCATAGGTAGGCGCCATGGCTTGAGCAAGGCATGTGTAATAGGGATTGGCTAGCTGTCCCGGCAGGTGTGTTTGGAAACAAGCAGTAACTGGGAAGATAAATTTATGATTAGTTTTACTGCATATTGTTGCTGCTTTTATTTTTTTTTTGACAATTGAACCTTTCCGAGTTGATCCATTCTTTGACCCATAAAACAAACAGCTCAAAATTCTAAATCAAGA